AACCATGATCCTCCTGATCTCTGCCTCCTGAGTAGCTAGGATTACTGTCACCCAGCTTTGCACATATTTTTATAGAGCATTTCTGCTACTGCTCACATTGATCCACCTAAAGTGACATTATTTTATAGCTTAAACAATTCTCTTAGTTTAAATTCTGTGTATATTCTTTTTGTAATATATTAATTCCTTTTGTAGTATATTAATTCTCTCCTCTATCCCAAACACTGAATTTTCATTACATTTCACAGTGACATCTTCTTCTGAATTTCTTATAGTTACTGTCTGAACCATTCTTGGGCAATTAATCATGCATTACTCTGTGCCTATGTTTTATAATTATTTAACTCTTATTATCTCTTAAAGTATTCAACATTTCACATATTTTCTGTCTTGTCTATACTATCTCATAAGCTTCATGAGAAATTAGGTTGCTAAAAGTGTCCAGAGAATTCAGAAAATATTTGTTAAAAAATAGTTAAGGAATATTATGTACTTCAGTATTAGCTAATTGAGATATTGATGTCTTTATACTATATATTAATGGATAAACTTTTTTAAATTTGATAAATATTTTAGACACAACTTTAAAATACATTAACTTTGCTCTCTTTTATATTCACTCCATCTTTTCCTCTTTGCCCAAGACTCACCTACATACATGGAGATAGCTTGACCATCTCTCTGTCAACAGACCTCCCAGTCAAGTACCAATCAGGCCCATCCCTGTTTTGCTTCTGAGATTACACAATCCATGTATTCAGGGTTGTATGGCCATATACTTCACAGACCTTCTTAGGATAATCTGTGTCCCCTTCCATCAGAAAGAAAAAACTGGAAGGCATATTCATAGAAATGTTTTAGTAGCAATATGTTTATTATTTACCCTAGGAATATTTACATTTTAAAAGAGGGCTGTGTAGAAGGAACAATGTATAACCCAAATAAATCAAGTACCAAGTAGGAGTCTGATTTCTTGGGTGAGCAATGTATTTAAGATAGGTGGTCTTCTCCCATGCCTTTCAAGTCACACTGTGCAGTGTAATAACCACTTCTCCACATCTGTTTATACTGGATTGCAAAACCTAATACAGATCTAGAATCCAAACTAGTGAATTTTCATTGGGGAAATTTTCAAAAGTTTTTTTTGTGCTGCATTGTTTTCACAATATCAGAGTTTTATGTGTAGGAACTGCATATTACTACCAACAGGAAAGTGTCATCAGAGTCAGATAAAAAGGACAAAGAAGAAGTCAAAGCCTTGGACTGATTTGATTGACACATGACAAAGGACAACTTACACATATCTTCACTTTGAAAGCAACCTACACTTACATCAGGATCACTGGATCACAGAACAGTTCAAATATACAAAGAAATAAAGTTAGTGCAGATTTCTAAGAATTTTACTAATTGAACATTTATGTTAAAATAAGCTAATAAAAGTTAAATATGCAAACTTCTATAGATTTTATCAATGAATGAGTGACCATGTCTGTCTTCTTTACTGCATCTTACTGTGTTTGACATCACACCATAATTATCCCTCTCGTCTCACACTTTCTCAAACTCCTGTTTACTCTTTTTATTTGAAGAATATTTCCAGAATTTATATATTTGATCTGCAGTATGAAACAACAATCAGAGACTGTATGTGCTCCCCAACTAGACTACTGTAAAATAATTATAAGGAAATAAGGATGGTAAAAGCAATTTTTTTTTTAGGCAATACTAAGGTTTGAACTCAGAGCCTCATTCTTGCAAGGCTAGGCAGGTATTCTACCACTTGAGCCACTCCACCAACCCTTTTCTGTGTTGGGTGTTTTTGAGAAAGGGTCTTAGGAACTGTTACCTGAGCTGGCCTCAAACTACAATGCTCCAGATTTCTGCCTCCCAGGTAGCTAGGATTACAGGAGTGAGCCACCAGTGCCCAGCGAAAAGAGCAATCTTGAAAACTTTAAAAGTCTTCAGTATTCTTGCTGTAAAAATAATCCCTTTTCCAAAATTTGATTTATGCCATTTCTAGAACATGTCTAAATCAGAACTGGGGTACCAGTGGCCTGTAATCCTAGCTACTCAGGAGGCAGAGATCAAGAAGATTGCAGTTCAAAGCCAGCCCAGGCAATTAGTTTGCAAGACCCTCTCTCAAAAACACCTAACACAAAAAGGGCTTGTGAAATGGCTCAAGGTGTAGGCCCTGAGTTCAAACCTCGGTACCACAAATAAAATAAAATCATAACTGAATTGCTTCTAGTTCTGTGAGTCACTGGCTCCTCACGATATGTACATAACCCCCCTGCCAATTTATCTCACTTTCAAGGCTTATTCCCTTTGCTATGTATTGGAAAAGAGAAAGTTAAAGTCCCTTTTGCATTGTCCAAATGGCAGTCTATGCAGGGTTATAGATGCTTCCCCAGTGTTTGCAGCTCTGTTTAGGACTTCCATTCACTTCACTGTTGGCCTTCACCCAAGACATAACCTCCATATGATGCAGCTATCCTACCTTCTGACTATGTACATAAGGTATATATGAAAGATAAGTGGATTTTGTGTCTAGACTTAGGTCCTATCATCAAAATAGCTCATTATATGCAAATATTCCAAAATCTAAAACACTTCTGGTCCCAAGCATCTTGGATAAGGAATACTCAACTGATAATCTCTTAATTAAGTTTGAGCTTGCAAACTAAGGATTAGACCTTAGGCCAAGAAATTTTACAAAGACAAATTCTACTTTGTGAGCTTCCTTGGTGACCAGCCCCCCCTCCCAAGCCCCAGAACACCTGCCTGCACTGTCAGGTGTACAATACTGATAACCCAGAGCTCTCAAGTTTACTACTACTCACACACCTGCAGGTAGCTGTGGGAGTCATCTAGCTTTTTTGGCTTGGCCAGACAGTTCTGCTCAGGGTATAGCACGAAGAATAGCTCTTTCACATTACAAATCTATCGACTGGCCAAAGCAGCTCTGCTCTACTTGCCATTCTCTGAGAATATTCATGGACCAGAGGATATCTGGGGTATGTTCCTCTCAGAAAATGAAGAGAAGCAAGAGAACAAACAAGAACATATGAGGCCTTTTCTGGTCTAGGCTCAGAAAGTTCCAGCTTATTTCTTTTGGCCAAATAAGTCAATCACATGGTCAAACACAAAGACAAAGGATAGAGAAAAATATATTCTACCTATTTAATAAGGGGACCTGCAATATCATGGTAAATGGTGTGTATACTGGGAGGTATAAGATTTGGGGACATTATTGTAATCTATCCCCTGCTTGGTTGACTGTATATGCTAACAAAGTCAATCTGGACAGAGGTCAGAGTATCAAAGAGAGAACTCAGGACATGAGTTAATTATTTAATGAACAGCTTGATTAAGTTGTAATAGATTTTATAATATTGGAAATAAATCCTTTTGAATTGATATGGAGTGCCCAGACACCTGCACATTGACATATATAGTTTTGGCAAACCCTCACAAAACTGTTAAGGTAACTGTTAATGTTACCAAGAGTTAAGTGGAACTCAGAGAGGCTAAAGAACTTGCCAAAGGCCACACAGACATCAAATGAGGAAGAGCAGCATCTGAAACAGAACATCAAGCACCACTTCCAAGTGCTTTTCCCACAGTGGCAGTTCTGTCTTTGATTGCTTTGATAACCAAGGCTTTCCAGAAGCAATGTGTGCTGGATGTGAAATATTCTAACCAGGACACAAAGAAGGGCTTTGAATGAATTTGCCATTAGATGAACTTGTCATTAGGGTCAGTCCTCATCCTGCTAATAGACTGCTTTCTGCAGTTGCACAAGCTCCTTCTCATCCCCTCCCCAATTCTCAGCAGGTGCCAAAACAGATCCTCTCCTCACTTGCCCAGTTTAATCCAGGCCTGTTTGTCTGGGACTGCAGAGGTTCAGGACCTTAAGAGCTCTGTTTTCTTGACTATTCTGATAAGCAGAAGTAAACTGGGATCATAAACCCAGACGTCCAGAGCTGGAGGCATAGCTCAAGTGGTAGAGTGCCTGTCCCGCAAGTGTGAAGTACCACCAACAGCGCTTCTGCTGTGCTTCACAACCGCATAAAGTGGGGGGAAAAGCAAGCAACCCAGACTCACTTCTGCCACCTAGTTCCTTAGGCCTTGCACAGCAAGCTGTCTTTATTATTTCATTATATGTATTTAAAATAATTTTGTTTACTATGAGAAGTTAATATAAAACAGAGCTACAGAAGAGGGAGCTTAGAAGAGGAAGCACACGTTGAGGGCTAGGTTGATTAGAAAAGCTTTTGCAGAGCTAAGTGAGGTCATTCTTTCCTGGGAGAATGGGAGTCAGTCATCTTTCTTCTACCACCAGTCAAAGACTGAAGTCCATAAACGCCACTCCCACCTCCCAACGTGTGCCCTGAAAAAAGCAGAGTGGTTTTCTTGCTGAGGTCTGGAACACGCCTCGCTTTCTGGTGGAAGCCGCTCTCCTCTCATCCATATAACTCCAACTCATCCACTTTTCGTGGATGCATGCTGTCCACGCTGTGTTTGTGGACACCAGGTGCATCAGCATTTGTTCTCCAAGCAGACCCTTCCTTTCCCAAGTGCAGCCCTGAGCGCCAAGACTGAGGTCTCTTGAGCCCCGGGCAATAGACCACACCCTCAGAGATGCGCGAACTTGGTTATGTCCCTGGGAAGTGGGGGCAAGATGTGATACTATTTGGGACACCCTGCGCGCTTCATCCAATTTTAGAGAAGTAGTACTGGGGTTTCCCTCTGCCCCATGCCCAGCGCAAACTCAAGATTTTTCTGGGGAGGGGGGGTGCTAGAATACGGAATAGGGAACCGGGCCCCTCCACGGCTCACTGCCCTCCAGGCGGCGATGTTTGTCACCCAGCGCGCGAAAGGAGGCTGTTGCGGGCTGACCTGCCCACGGAGCTTGCCTCCTCCCCACCCCCGCAGTGACGTCCCAGGCGGCGGAGGGGCGACCAACTGACTCTGCGCCCTCCCGGACTCCTCCCAGTGCGGAATCCGTCTGTGCAAGGGTGATGCTGCTGCCGCGGCCGCAGTCGTCGCGCACGCAGCGGTCTGTCCTCTGGCTCCGCCGCGATTGCGCGCGGGTGTCCCAGGGCGCACTGGAGTCGGACTATGCAGCCGGGAGCGGTGCTGCGGTCCGTGCTGCTGGCGGTGCTGCTGGCGGGACCGCGGGGCGCGAGGAGCCGCCTGCTGAGCGGTGAGTGCGCGCTCTGGGTAGGAGGCTGGTGCCGGGTCGGCTGGGCTGATGCACCCAGTGCACGCCAGCCCTTTGGGGTCCTCGGTTTCCAGGGAACAATCGCCCGCGTCTGGGACTCCAGGGACCGCTGTTTCCTGAGTATCCTGGAACGCTCGAAATCCGTTTCGGCCCGTTACCGGGGTGGGTCAGAGGATGCAGGCTGGGTAGAGCAGTGGGCAGACCTGCTTCTGTGGGTGCTCCTTCAGGCCGTCCCATTGAGCGCAGTGCGGTAGTGCCCAGGCCCCCATGCGGAGCAGGTCCTCCAACTGTCTCCCACCTGCCACCCCCTCGGGGAAACTGTCACGCACAGGGCTGGATTCTGGATTGGCGGTGCTGGGTACTGCGGCAACCCTGCCTGTTGCTCCTGGTCTCTTCTGGAGGAAGGTTCCAGCGCCTGGAACGCCAGCGCTTAGAGATCAGGAAAGCGGCTTAGTTAGCGCGGGACGAACCCCGCCTGGCTTCGGGGAATGACTCTCTGTTTGTTTCCTTCCTTCCGTCGTGTCATTGCAGCCTCGGACTTGGACCCCAGAGGAGGTACAGTGTTCTGGCTTCTTGCCTCTTTAAATTGTTTTGCATGTCTGGGGGACAATCTCTGTGCCATTTCTCACGTCCCCTTCTCGGGCACCAGGACTGAGAAGACTGGGAGTCTCCTCCACCAGGGTGAACCAGCCCGTGGGGCTGACTTAAGGAAGCTAAAGTTGGTTTCAGGATGGGGGTGTGGTTCGAGGCAGCAAAAGGGGAGGGTGGCTGAAATGAGCTGCTGCTTGGGTGAGGATTGTACGTGGTGGTGGGAATGAATGCCCGCCCGCCCTTCCCCTTCCTGCAAATGAGAAGAGAAAGACGCTTCCTGAAGGCAGGGGAACCAGATGGGGCCTCGGGCCTCTTTCCAGCTGTCGCACTCACCCGTGGACTTGGGATGTGTGGCCAGACTGGCCCATACAGGAAACTGGATTAAGGTGTTATGTTTCCCCTTGACAATCTGGCATGGAAAAGTAGTAGGGACTGCCAGTAAATTCAAGTCGCGCTTATGTTATGCTAGCGGTCAGGTTGAGGGTTTCCGGGGTCTTTCCGCTGCAGCCTGATTTGCAACCCTTTTAAGGAACCAGAGAAGCTGGGCTAGCCCACTCTCCTCCCCAGGGTGCATGGCAGACACTTCCTGGTGAAGACACCCTTTTTTGAGTACTCCTAATTTACTGGTGGACTGGTCCAGTTAGAGAGTCTTTATTTAGCAGCCAGGAATAACAGGGAAAGGGAGAACGTGCAAAATTCTTCCAGTTTCTTGCACATTTAGAATTTCTTTAGAAAAGTGATGAGAAGACATAGACAATAGTAAAGATTCCCTGGAACTTTCTGGATCATCTCTTTCCTATTTAGCACTAATAGTGCAGTTAACTGTCTAGGGCCTTTTGCCCTATAGCCTGGACAGAACTGGGAATAGTGAAAGTTACTCCCTGTACAACTGCAAAACAAGTTGGAGAAATGAGAACATTCCAGAAAGCCTGGGAAGAGGTTCCCAAACCAAAATCCCTTACTGTTGTCTCTGTGGCAGTAATTCACACCCACAGCCCACAATTTGGCTCTTTCATTGCAGGAGACCGCTCTTCTTGTTGAAATGTGGTTTTCATTTTGTACTCATAGATCCAGAAACATATACTGCATGTTCCAGTGGCCTAGGAATGGCATTTGTTCCTGCATTCCCAGCACCTAGCACAGTACCAGGCAAAGAGGATGCACTTGACAAGTGTTCACTGAACAGAACATTGAGTCTAAGGTTTAGGCTGCAATAAAACTCATCATCCACACACAGGCTAGGGTAGTGTGTGCAGGTGGATGATTCGTTAGTTGCTGCTCAGTGGAATCCCATCCAGGTGTCTGAAATAGTCTTTAGTCTTTCAGGTGTCAGTCAGGGCAACCAGAGCCTGAGGCGAAGGAGGCAGCAGGCAGTGGGCAGTATAGCACAGTGGTCGGGCATGACTTTGTAATCAGCTCTGGACTCTGACTTGGTTGATGCTGCTGATAGCAGTGTGACCTTAGACAAATGACTTCATTTCTCTGCGTCTCCGTTCTCTCGTTTGTAAAATGGGGCATAAACAGTATCTATATCAAGGGCTGGTTAAAAGGGTTAAAGGAAATACAGTATGTACGTAAATGCAAAGGGCTCGCCGTAGTTAGTGGCACATTGGAAAAATTCAGTAAACCTTAGTGGTTGTCTCTAGTCAGGGGACTGACTGTCAGTATCAGAAAAGCCCACGGATCTGATGCCCTTAGCTTCTGCTCACAGCAGAGACTAAGTGAATTAGTCCTGCTGCATAGGCAGAAGACTTCAGGATAGAGGAATCCATGTCTGACTTCAGAGTGCCTCACTGACTTGAAGGAACCACTTAACAGAGATATTCACTTCAAGCTAGCTGGCCCCCTGAGACTCCCTAATGGCATAAAAGTGATTTGTGTGCCTTAAGTGACGCCATAAATCTTCTTTTAAAAGATAGTCATGTCTGCTTTTCAAGAATCTGTAATAGAACAAACAAGATATGGTGTCCCCATACAATGTGGGCATCAGAGTTGAAGTCATGGCAGCTACATGCTGGAAGGGATATTAATTTTCTCTGGGAATCCTAACTGACATGCGAATAGTCTGCTGATGAGTAATGAGTGATCAGACTCCTACCCAGAAATAGCTTCATTCAGATGCCTTGGAGCACAGCTGTCCTAGTATACTTTTGGAAGACACTGAAACGGTTGCCTTCTTTTTTCTCTAGGGCAGCTGGTCTGCCTGGGAGGGACCCGGAGGCCTTGTTATAAAGTCATTTACTTTCATGATGCTTCTCGAAGACTGAACTTTGAGGAAGCCAAAGAAACCTGCGGGAGTGATGGGGGCCAGCTAGTCAGCATCGAGTCTGAAGATGAGCAGAAACTGATAGAAAAGTTCATTGAAAACCTCTTGGCTTCTGATGGTGATTTCTGGATTGGGCTCAGGAGGCATGCAGAGAAACAAAGCAATAGCACAGCCTGCCAGGACCTTTATGCCTGGACAGATGGCAGCACATCAAAATTTAGGTAAGTGTGTGGAACCCACAGCATCTGACTCCCTTGACATAATTCAGAAAAGAGGCAGGCTGGGTGGACAATGCCAGATCTGTGGTGAAGAGGAGACCTAGTCAAGCGGATCCCTGGTAGGTCACAACATCAGAATAATCACTGACAGGAGAGCAATGTGGTGAAGGTGGTGAACGCAGCCTTGTCTCGAATCCAGCTGATATCCAAAGAGCCCTGTTCAGGTGGGTGAAGCCCAGCAGCATTGTTTCAATGGTACATGATGCTTAAAGCCAGTGGTTCTGGCTATTTGGCCTTTCAGATTAGAATCCCACTGATAGACTAAAGGTCCATAGAGCTAGTAGGATAGGATTCAAGATGGTGGAGAACTATTGATGGGGGCAAGAAAAAAGAGCCAAGATCTAACAGTAAGGATTTGCCAAGAGTGGGGACTTCAGGGAGGCTGCAGTTTGTAGGACCCTATTAAACCCACAGCATCAAGACACTGATGACCCCTCACACCACATCATTGGCACCATGGCATTGCCATCATTCCTCCCTAAAAAATGCAGTGACATGGACAAGCATGTAATATATCAAGATTAAGTGACAGACGTGGTACCAGAGAAATGTCTCTAAAAATATAACAAAGAGTTAATACCTTTAGGTAAAGAGATGTAAGTCATAAGCAAAAAAATCCAATTGGTATGGCAATTATAAGGAAAAACAGCCAAAGTCATTATCAGTCAAAGGATGAAGACAAAAGCACATTTTTGCCTGTTACATTTAACACAGCATGTCAGCATCTATCACTGTCTACCCATTATACTGATCGGATCTTGTCTTTGTGTAAGTTCTGGGAGAATCTCTTCCAGGATTCTCATGGGCTTCTCTTCCTAGGAAAAACCCAGAAAAGGACTGAAGATAGCCCCAGGTACAAAACTGATATTTACTGACTTTCTTCCTCTAGTATACAGTCCAGATTCTGGACCCTTTGATGGTCTTAATGGCTGACCCAGTGGCATGACCAGACCTTCATCTCTGAAGAGTCTGAGGCCCTAGTCACCTGGCACTTCTCGGGCTGTAACTAATGTACTTTTCCATTGACCATCAAAAATTGGGAAGTAAGTACCAAGAGATATCCAAGTAGATAACCTAGGAATCTTCTCCCTGCCTATAACATATACAGCAAACCTACCTCTTCCTCATGAGTAGAGTCCATTACCTCCTGCCAAGATAATGACATCTCTTCTCGACTACTGGTCCCTGGACATAAGAATTCCAAGTGTCCAAGTTATAGCCATGGCTCGTAGCTCAATAAGACTCTTGCTATATATTCTAGAAGTATTCCCCATCCCCTCCCCAAGAACTAAGGACTTCTAAACTCCCGAAGTACTGAAGATACAAGGAGTATAAATGCCCCAAGTAGTTCACTACCATTGATGGTACTCTTGCTTTTATCTGTTGGTCCCAGACCCACGTCTTCTATTCTTGCACGTGCAGGACTATATAAATCATCAATTTAAGGTATATACTGCTTTTGGATGATGCCCTTCCCACAGTATTTCTCTAAGCTGATGCTACAGCTGTGTTTTTAATAAGCTATTTCATCACTATCAAACTGGCAGCTTCAAGATGGTGCAATATGTGATCTGACTAGTAAATTTCACGGCCAGGTGCCTACTCCCACACCTTCTTTGCTGTAAAATAGATCCCCTTGTCTGATGAAATGTTATTTGAGATCCTATTTTGATAGATTAAATACCATGCACACCTCTGGATAGTGGTGCTGACTAAGATCCTAAGTCAGGAGAGGCAAACCCATGAGCAGATTGTGTATCTATTCATTCAAGGGTTCAGTGTATTTACACTCGTCCCCTCAAGTGTTGGTGCTATGTCAGGCCTAGCATTGGTCCCTGTTGCTGGAAGGCTGGACATTGAACAATAGTAGTAGCCAGATCATTCTTTTTTTTTCAGTACTGGGATTTGAACTCAGGGCTTTGTGCTTGCTTCACAAGTACTGTATTGCTTGAGCCATGCCTCCAGTCCAGGCTAGATCATTCTTGATGTGTACCGCCAGTCTCTTGAGCTCATGAACAACCTCCATCCTACCACCATGGCTACTCTACTTAGGTATTTATTGTGCAAGTACCAGACTAGTACCAGGCTGGCTAGTAACATGCTAGCTGTCATCACCAGGATGGCTCATTTTGTCTCCCTGGTTGATTAGTGCCTTTTTCATGGTAGATGCTCACTGGTAGACTTTCTCATGTGATAGAAAAATTGTCAGACTTTATGCTCTCTCCCATATGTCTGTTCATATCACTCTATACAAGATGTCCTCCTTCCCAGTCTTCCAGTCTTTTCGTTCCAGACTCTTATCAACTGGCCATGCTCTTTGCCTTTCTCCTGAGTCTTTATATATTCTAACTTCCAATAAGTTCTATTTCCAAAGTGGCTAACTGGGTGCACTGACTAGGCTCCGGCCAATGGGAGGCTGTCCACATACCACTGGCTTTCAAGGCCACCTCTAAGATGAGCTTCAGTATAGCAGCTGGCCATTTCAGCTTGTTTGCCCATACTTAGCTGACATATCCATGAACCAAACTCAGACTACCTACATCAGCTAGTCATAAGGAACTCTTCCATGCATCACTGCTGTGAGCTGAGGCACTGGTAGATGTCATACAATGCCCTTTGGTCCTGGATATACCTCTTCAGGTATATACCTTACAATGATTAATTCAGACTTGTGATAAAAGGTGCATCTGACAGTACCTAGCTTATGATAGGCAGGTGGGGCTGCATGGTCTCTTGGTTGGTGCTCCTTGGTTAGTAGAAATCCAGGACTTGTTTTTTCAAAAGGTGACTACAGATGATTTGACCTTGCTCCAGAACCCAGTAGTCTGCATTGTGATTCTTGTCAAGAATCTTATATGGCACTATTTTTCCCACCACTGACATGTCTAATAATAGGATCTATGGGATCATATGGCCCAAGTGCAAGTCTTCTTGACCTACTTCAGAATCCTCTGCTCTGGATCTTACTCAGAGCTGAGCATCTTTCATGTTAGCTGGTATGTGGGCCCAAGCAGTATTCCCAAGCGTGAAATTTGCTGCATTTGGAATCCTTCATCAAATTACTCCATGATGCAGTAGTTCTTTAACTTGAAAGTGACGTGCTGACATTCTCTAGATTACTAGACATCTCTACATTCTAATGAGGTGGCAGAGCCCTGAATGTCCTAGGGTTTATCTCTCACCCTTGGAGCACATGAGTCTTACTTAAGCTTCCAGTGTACTATCTACTTCTTGCTCACCTGGTCCAGTTGGCAAGGTTTCAGCAATGCAATATAATGAACCAGTGTGATTTTCTGCAAGATTTCTAGGAAATCCAGGCCTCTTCTCAACATATTGTGACAGAAGGTGGAAAAAATCAACATAGCCTTAAGGCAAGACCATGAGGGTAGGCTGTTGTCCAGTCCCTGTGAACACAAACTGTTCCGGATTGTCTTCACAGAATGTGGAAGAATGTGTTCTCCAGATCTGTATCTAGCAAAGATACCACATAAGCCCCAGGAGCTAAAATCAGAGTTCTGCCTGGTTGAGCTTGGTATCATCCTATAGGATCTGCTGGGTTTTTGCAGGAATCTGGTTAGTGTATTCAATAGAAATATAATGGGGAACATCATCCTGCATTCTTTTGGTCTTTAAAGGTAGCACTACATTCCTCCATCTTCCCCTGCTAAGAGACTGTTGTTGATTTATTGTCTGGCAGAGGTAGGGAGGAATGTAGTTTCAGAGGCTTCCACTTGGCCTTCTCTACTTCAATAGGTTAAATAACCAATGTGGAACTATACCAACTACCAAATACATCAATTCAATTTGTACATTTAGGGATTGAAACAATGACTTCTGGCTGGATCCTACAGTGAGCTGTTCCTCTATTTAATACCTGGCTCCAGTATGCTCCCACTGTAATGGATAGCTTTGGTGACACTTCAAGTCTGAGTATCAATGTTAACTTATACCCTGTGTCCAACGGTCCTTATAATACTTGGATATATCTTCTTCCTCAGTGTATTCTCTTTTTCTCTCAGTGTATTCTTGCTTAAGTAAATGGCTAAAGGTCCCTTTGAGGGAAGAACAGGGAAAATTATTATCATATGCACCCACCACACCGTTGCAGAGTCTTCTTCCTAGGAACCTGGTCTTTCCCTTTATCAGTGAGTTATGAGTCTGAAAACTGACTGAAGTCCAAAGCATATGCCAGGAATGTATTCTATCTATCTGTGGGATGAAATACTATAAAGCTATAAGGCCAATGGGGTTGGAAAATAGTCTGGAAGTAACTGATGAGGTGCCCTGATAGAGCCTACCACCAGCCAAGCATAATGTCCAAGGAGTGGTTATTGCAAGCTCAGCTATTGTTCGTGAAATTCAACCCAGTGAATACAACAAAGGATTTTTCCCTTTAGCTGACTTACAACACAGAACTGAAGCAGAGCCATATAGTAACACTACCAGGAGACCTGTCTCTTAGCTGTCTCTTACCTGAGGAGGGGCTCTGAGAGAAGCTAGGAAGAGTAGCAGTGCCCCACTACATAGTCTGAGAGTCAGGGCAAGGGGCCCGCAGGGAAACAGCTCAGGTAGGTAGCCAGGTAAGCCACAAAGCCCAGCCTTGAGTCGACAGATAGGATGGGTGCTTACAGATTTAGACTGTCAATGGGAACCAAGGCTTTAACCCAGCCCTCACATATCCAACTGAGTGGCAGCACCATTTAACTCCAGTTACCACTGGACAGTAGAACTAATGCTGTTAAAGCTGCTACAAGGGTACATAAGGTGGCAAAGATAAGACATGCGGCAGAGGAAGACAAGAGGCTTATTGGCCTCATCAAATATAAATGACTTAAAACAGAAAAAGACCAAGTAGTCTTCCTGCCCTTGTCCCTGCTCCTCACCTGCTTTGACAACCTCTGTATTTTGGCATGTCTCACTCAGATGCTTAACTTCCCATCTACCATCCAGAGGTAGATGGGAACCACGGCTATTGAGAAGCAGGGAAACATCAGGATAAGATATGCCATGCCTCTTCTCAGTGAGTCTGATCTCTGAAAAAAGAGAAACAAAACACAATCAGCAAAAACGAAATAAGATCATCCAGACTAGCCCTGCTTGCTGCTTTTTCTTATAATCACTTTGCAGATATTATATGCTTATATACTTCTCTCTGAGAAGAGGTTGTGGTAAATGTCAGATCATTGATTGTGGCATCCATCTTAAAGGGCACATGGTTCTGCCTTTTGGCAGTGCTTCAACTCTCTCTGTGTCACACTCTGAAGCAGAATCTTCTGTTCATGGCTCAGTAGAACCTGATAGGAAGACAAAAATCCTGGAAGTCCTGAGGGTCTGTTTCTCCAGTTGCCTCTACTGTTAAACCTTTCCTATAGGAACTGGTATGTGGATGAGCCTTCCTGTGGCAGCGAGGTGTGTGTGGTCATGTACCATCAGCCATCGGCACCCGCCGGCATCGGGGGCTACTACATGTTCCAGTGGAACGATGACCGATGCAATGTGAAGAACAATTTCATTTGCAAATATTCCAATGGTAAGGAATCCTCTCCCAAGTTACGTGGCTGAATTCTCAGCCTCCTCTCCCACTTCATAAACAGCTGCTAATACCAAGAATTTGTTATGTGGTCGTTGAGAAAGCTTGTGATAAATGCCAACAATGTCAGACTTCTGGAATTCTTGTAAAGAGAAGTGTAATGGCACTTCTTCATGGAGGAGTAATTCTAGCAAAGGAAGGTTATCAGATGCTAAGAGAAGGGTTGAAAAAAGGAAGGATCTGATTTATGGGTGGTAAAGGAGGACTTCTGAGAACATCCAGAAAAAGCTCTCTCTGGACAAACACAAATGCTTACTCATTCCACATGTGAGACTGGCTGTAGGAGCTTGGAATAGGCTGACCATTGTTCTTAACAGCAAGAATATTTTCTGGGAAACACACGAATGACCCAAGGAGGAACATTATAAAGTACACCGATTCCACTGGCACTAGGCAGAGATAACAGGCACTTTGATGAACAAGTTTAAAACTCCCAAACCACTCATCCCCTCTAGATATGCCTTGCAAATTCATCTCGAATTTGCTTCCAGATCTGAAGGGTTTTAAACTGGCTAAAAGCCCATAGTCTCCCTCTGCTGAAGTTTCCTAAACTCCTTTTTTGTAACTAAGATTTAAACTTGAACTCATTCTTGATCCATCCCTGAAGTTTCTCACCTCCCTGAAGCCAACTGCTTGGCCCCAATTCTGCATTCTTTTCTGACAGGAATAGTGACTTGTTAGTTCTATCTAGTTTGGGACTAAATAGTACTGTCATTTTTACGTTGTTTGGACTGTGCTTTGGGTGCAATTTTTTTGCTGCTGAAAGATGTTTTCCTTCCTCCTTACCCCCTCAGATGAGTTCTCTTCTCCAGTGACCCGGTAATGTCACCATGCAGAGTTGCCTCAGCCGGTGAGGTTATAAAGACCCACACCTTCCAGAGCAGTGAAAGCAAAGCACTTTTTACAAACTGTCTTTCCATCATTTTTGTTAATTATATTCTACTAGCTTCATGGTTTAAATGGTCATACTTCTTTAACATTTTTCAAAATGAGAGATTTTGAAATTTTCATTAACATTCCTTTATTTTTGAACTTGAAATCATATTCTTCATTAGTTTTGCTACTATTAGGTCAACTGGAAGAATGTGAAAGGTCTGTAGATTAGACAATATTGTTTTATATCAGTGTTGATTTCTTGGTTTTGATCATTGTACTGTGGTTATGTAAGAGAATGCCCTCCCTTTTAAAATATAGATTGAAGTCATTAGGAGTAAAAGAGCACTGTGAAAGTTATGTATGTGTATGTATGCATATAAACATGAATAAAGACATAGAGATAGATGGATAGATAGAATAATTAAGTACACAAAATATGGTAAAATGATAAGGTGAAAGATATTTTACTCTTCTTGCAAATTTTCATAAATCTGAAATTGTTTCAAAATAGGAAGTAAAAAAATAATTTCCTTTAGGAAGCCTGCAGGACCCCTCAAAACTAGGTTAGGTGGTCCTCGCATGAAGATCAGAGCACCTCATACACACAGTACTTCAACCACCTGTCTACAGGTCTGTCCCTTTCACTACATGGTTGGCATGAAGTCTGGAAACATAGATGTCTAACCACTTAGTGAGCTAGAGGAAGATTGCTTCTGGGTCCCACAGGATGGCACACTGTCCCATTATGCTACAGTGGCAAGGGACTGGGAGAATCATCTCTAAAACTATTGAAATATGTGGCCTCTGCAGCAGGTGGCATGCTATCCAGATCTGAACACTTGTTACTTGTGGAGTACACTAAAGGCACAGGAACATTCAGGGAAAATCAGAGCGAAATCATCTAAGCCATGACAGATGAAGTGCCATACTTACTGCCATTCTGCATAGTGGACTGTGTGGAAAGACAACAATATGTATAGATCACAGATTGTCATGGAATACTACGTGTTTCAATGTGATATCATAAAATTCATATTAATGTTTTCATATTTGTCCAGATTTTATGACCATCATGTAGAATATAAGCTCCTTAGAGACTGGAATTATTTCTTATTTGCTGTTTTATCTCCAGTACCAAGCACAGTTGTTTCTTTCCTATTTTAATTACTTGAGTTTATTTGGTTGAAATAATAGACCAGCTACTTTTTGGCTGTGAAGTTTGGAGAAGTTACATAATCTCTCTGTATAGTAGTTTTCTACAAAATCAAAATACAATATACAAAATCAAAATACAATAGTGCTTCCTTCTTAGGTGATTATCAAGATTGAGCTTATGTTTATAAAACCCTTAAAACAGTATCACATAGTGGGTACTATATAAGTGGGCTTAAAAATAAATGGATTTAGTTGGGTGCCAGTGGCTCACACCTGTAATCCTAGCTACCTGGGAGACTGAGATCAGAAAGATCACAGTTCAAGGCCAGCCCAGGCAAAAAGTTTGCAAAACCCCATCTCAACCAATAGCTGGGAATGATGGTGCATGCCTATCATCCCAGAGATGTCGGGAAGCTTTAGAGCAGAAGGAAAAACTAAAGTCCTATTTCCAAAATAATCAGAGCAAAATGGGCTGGAGGAAAGACTGAAGCAGTAGAGAACCTGCCTTGTAAACCTGAAGCCTTAAGTTCAAACCCCCAATGTTTCTGTCCTTTCAGAATGAAACTTCAGAATAGGTTTGTAATTTGGGCCTTTTGGGGGGCCCTTAAGGGCCCAGTCCCTGTGAACTCGAAAGCATCTGATTAACATATGAGACTGACTGCCTATACAAGAAGTCAGTCAAAAGCAAAAACATTTGACTTGGCTCATCTGTGCAACCTGACTTTCCTAGGCTCTTGGAAATAGTTCAAATACCTCAGGGCCCATCACCAGTCTCTAACTTGGGGCTGGCCAGGCACTCAAATACTTCCACTGCTTGGAGAGCAGTACTTGTTACTCTCTAAAATATCCCCAGAATAAACTGATAAAATGTCTTTGACTGCTTTAAAATAATCCAGGCCAGATGTGTAGCAGGCAAGTAAGGATTATCGTTATTATAGCTATTCTTTGATAGGAGAGAAAGCTGGTTCATTATGTCAGACTTACTACTTTTGTGCACATTTAGAAATTTCCATATTTTAAAGTTTTCTGAAAAAGAAAAAAAGCACTGAAGCAAAGTATGCAGAAGTATTTCTTTGGCTTAACTAAACCATTTCCTGGTATCTGGCAACAAGGAGTAATATGATAATGATAAATAAAATTTATTGGAAGTGGGTACCATACTCTAGCTTATTTCATTCCAAGGCAAGAGAAATTAGTTATTGTTTTTTATTTTGTTTCTTTCTGCTGCAGAGAAGCCAACAGCTCCTTCTACGAGGCCTGGAGGTAAGACCGTCATGTAAGATTTGGGTTAATTTGGACTTGTTTTGCAGTCCCTCTTTATAGAATTTGAACCAAATATCTTTTAGACCAGATTATTTCAACCGAAAGACCACTGGTGTTAACCCAGACAAGCTGGACAGGTATAAGCCACACCTAGTCATAACAATTAGTTCATTAGTCTCACTCTCTGCTATTATTTATTTCTGTCAAAGCTGAAATGCAACAGTTGCAAATTTAGTTTAGGATGTTACTTATTACTATTGACAATATGAAAGGAATAACTTAATCTGATGAGACAAGAAATGAACCAAACTGATTTCTCATGGTCATAGCCGTAGTCATTGGCTCTTCCCCTTGGGCACCTCAGTAGTTTATATGGCTCAGTGCCAGCTATTTGTTGGCTGTTTTGGTGCCTGATCCTTGACAGCAAGGGTCTCACCAAAAGATAATAACAATTAAATCTCTAGGGTAGAAAATTCAACCCTTTGTTTCTATGTTTATAAAATGTCACTAGACAAAGTGCTACTGCTTTTTGGCATCTCATTTTGAACATGGTACAACCTCAAAGAATACCTGAATTATAGTTCCTCTCCAAGTTCTCAAGTTCATGTGTGTCTCTCTCTCAGGTGAGAGAATAGAGCCAGCAACACCCATACCTCCAGAAGAAACACAGAAAGAAGATGCCAAAGAAACACTTAAAGAAAGCAAAGGTGTGTACAGAACTTACCTAGGGAAAACAGATAATGTGACTCCCTTGATCACAAATTATCCATGTTACCTTCCTTACTTTGTTCTTCCCATAGCTCCTTAAAAATGGAATTTAGGCAAGGCATCTGTGACTTTGCAAAAACTGTATGAAATGTTAGATTTCACAGTGAAATATGCAACTGGAGCCATCCTAAGACAGTTGGTTATCAGACTAGACAGGAAGTGAAAGCTCCTGTCATTTATCATGAAGACAAAGCCTTGGGAACTACCATGGTCATGGGATTGGAGTAGGGTAGGGACTGAGAGAGTAGATGTAGAGAAGTAAGACCAGAAAGACTCCAGCTGTGATGTACAAATCTGGGATTAATATCTGTGAAACAAATAGAGGAAATGGACAAAAACATTTAAAAAGCTAGATCATAAAAGGTAAAAGAAAATGGGGTGGTAAGTTAGAGTGCTAATAGACTTTCATCTTTATGCTCCCCCTGAGTTTCAACAGGGAAATGTGGGTTCTTGTCACTGGACAACTTAAAAAAAAAAAAACCTAATTTCTTGGTGCTTCAGTTTAATCATTTACATAATGGAAATAATGATGTTTTTCTTACCTACTGCAGAGCACTACTGTGTCCATAAAATGAAAGATATTATTGTAATACTGCAATTCAGTTCTGACACTAAGTCGGCACAAGACTCCCTCAAGCTTAAAGACACAGTTCACATCTGCCCTGTCTTCAGACATCAGTCTCAAGTTTGGGGGTCCGAAGGCCACCTGCACATCTGACCAACCAACTAGAAACCCAGGGGTGGCCATGGCCCCTCCCAGGTTGAGTAATTTACCAGAACAATTCACAGAACCCAGGAAAACACTGTACTCAAACAGGATCAAGTCAAGAGCAGTCCAATGAAGGGACACACAGGAGGGGGGTCTGGGAGGATTCCAAAATAGGGAGTCTTCTGTGACCTTTATGGGTGGAATCGGGATGTGTTATCCTCCTTGTGATGGTTTGAATATGAAATGTTTCCTACAGGCTCATTTGTTCAACCCTTGGTTCCCAGCAGGTGGTGCTCTTTTAGAGGTTCTGGAAAATTTAGGAGGTGGGTCTAACTGAAGGAAGTGGGTCACAGGAAGCATGCATTTGAAGGTTAGACCTGTATTCAGTCCCTTCCTCTTTCTCTGTTTCCTGTCCACCATGAGGTGAACCGCCTCCTCCCTCACACACTCCTGCCATTCTGATGTTCTGTCCAAACACATGGGCCAAGCAACCATGGAGTGAACATTCTCAAACTGAGCCCAAATAATCCTCTCCTCTTTTCCTCCTCTAAGTTGTTCTCTCAGCTATCTAGGTCACAGTTAGGAAAAAGTAACTAATACACTCCTCCTGGCACATAAATACATACACCAATCAGGAGGCTCCACTGAGCTTTGGTATCCAGAGATGTTATTGGGGTGTCATTACAAAGGCATGACTATCGTTGTTCAGAGATGCAACACACTCCTGCCATTCTGATGTTCTGTCCAAACACATGGGCCAAGCAACCATGGAGTGAACATTCTCAAACTGAGCC